TAGATTCCATTTCACCTTAGCAACCGCATCCCTCGCCCTTAGCGACTGCCTCGGTGAGGACAGCTTCCTTAGATTCTAGATTCCATTTCACCTTAGCAACTGCATCCCTCGCCCTTAGCGACTGCCTCGGTGAGGACAGCTTCCTTAGATTCTAGATTCCATTTCACCTTAGCAACTGCATCCCTCGCCCTTAGCGACTGCCTCGGTGAGGACAGCTTCCTTAGATTCTAGATTCCTTTTCACTGTAGCAACCGCATCCCTCGCCCCTAGCGACTGCCTCGGTGAGGACAGCTTCCTTAGATTGTAGATTCCATTTCACCTTAGCAACCGCATCCCTCGCCCCTAGCGACTGCCTCAGTGAGGACAGCTTCCTTAGATTCTGACATAAAAGCAAAATTCACTGTGGAAACCTTCTAGAGTGTAGAGTAGTTCAGCCTGACAGTCTTACATTAAATACAGAAAGCAAGAGTACAGTACAGGAGAAAGCACTCTTGTGTGCAGATGATTTGTGATATTTTCAGAGATTTTTAATGAGTGAGCGGGAAACATTTACAAGCATCCCTATTTGAATGGAGTCTCTGCTGCATAGAATATTCATACATATGTGTTCAGCTCATGAATATTTAATTGGTGTCTTTAAAACTTTAACTGACAATCCCTCGTGTGTGAAGCCTGTCTATTTCTCAGCTTGCGGCTGATTGGATGTTACTTTTGATCTATTCATATTTCATTTCCTTCCCAAAGGTGTGTATGGAAACTCACCCAGTGCCTGCTTCATCGCTAGTGACGGACACTCTCTCCGACTCTATCAGGCCATCATCGAGGCCAAGAAACTGCTGAGTGAACTCTCCAACCCCGACATCTCCGTAAGAATGGACCTGGCTGTTATTTCAGTATATCAAATAGTAGACTCCTGCTTATCTGTCATGTGTTCTTCCTCCAGAAATATGTTGGAGAGGTGTTTAACATCATCAGCCAGCAGTCGACGGCCAGACCAGGCTGCATCATTGAGCTTGATGCCATCACAGACTTTGTACGTATAAGATCCACTACAGATGCATAATGTGACCTAAATAATGAGCTGATCTAACACAAGAGCATCATGTCATTTCCCAGAGTGCTCAGCGCTCACGTCTCTCTCTCTGTTTGTTCAGCAGGGGAAAGAGACGCAGCTGCTGCATGTGTTTGAGGAGGACCTGATCTTGGGAAATGAGAAAACAGACGATTACCTGCAGGATTCTGGTAAGAAGTCATTCTCTCTCCCTCAGCGTTCGGTGTGTTTCTGTGCTGTGTCACGAACGCTTGTCCTTCCTTCAGTTCCCAGCCGGACGCTCTTCTCCGCTCGCTTCTACCTGGTGGTGGTGGAGATCACTCAGAGCGGCAGGTCGCTCCTGCACATGTGGCACCTACAGCTGGACGCAGTTCCCGTCGTTATGGGTTTGTAATGGGTCTTATGGTATTTAATGTGAGACACACTTGATTGGACTGTGAAAAGTACCAGATTGGAGTCAGACATGAGTGCAAGTGTGATCAAACAAAGCCTAAGCAACATGATTATGATTAGTAGATGACCGATATATCGGTCAATCATTTTTTTCTGTTTGGCCGATATGTGAGAAATGGGACTTTTATTTTGACAGAATAATGCAGAATCATTATTTTACAGATTCATTTTTTTACGAAGCTGACATTTTTAAAAATATTTTTATATAATATTAAGCAAAATAGATACTATTTCAGCAATTGTTATGCATGTGTTTTTATTATCTTTACAATAAATAGTGATATATTTCTCATTTATCGGCTTTATGTTGGCATCAAAAAATCCATATCAGTCAACCACTAATTATAATGTCGCCCATAAATGAAAGACAGAGCAACTGATTGTGACCAGATTTGTCATTCTTTCAGAGCAAACTCAAACTCCAGACAGAGAGACTGTGTCTCCATCGTTTAACTTTGAGACGGTCGGCTCACCACAAACCCCGAGACCCAAACTGAAGACGTCTAACCTCCAGAGCGCCTGCCGCCTCACTCTTTCCAGTACGAAAGTCTTCAGCCAGGAGCTGGATCTGCCGCAGGGCGTTGAAGTCATTCGTGTATCACCTGCTGCAGGTGAAGACCTCTGTGTACCTTTGAGGATGAGAGCATTCACTGCTGCATGATGTTCTGATTATTCATTATGTCCTGTATTTATCCATCTCTTTCCTACGCCCCATGACGCTTTGCACGAATTATGGGAGGAACTTCCGGTAAACAATCGTTGCGCTATTCGCTCTATGAAAGCCATTATAAGGATTTGCAAAAACTGGGTACAATGAAGTTACATTATTCTCCTCACCCTTCATACATCGAGCATTAAAAGGAAATTTAAAAGTGTAAAAATATTGACAAGAGCAAAAAGCTAGATTATTTCTCTAGCAATATTGCAGACGTGTTAAATATCATTAGTGTCTGTATTACGTAACATGTTTAATTAATTGCCTTAATTAAAAATGTTCATTAACTGCAACATTGAGTGATAATATTTCAAAGTGATTTCCGTCATTTGTACAGATAACGGATATTGTGTTCAGCTGCTTTAGAAACATTCCAGTAAACACTGCTGGGATTAGAAGTGAAAATGGGAGGCAGCTGCATTTCAAAGCATCTGTGTGAAAACAAACCTGGAAAGAGATGTGAGGATTCAGGGAGAAACAAAAACAGAGATTCTTAGTGCATTTAATTATTCCTGGGATATATTGTAAATTAAATCAGGAGAGCAGAGCTTAAATTTGCGGTATATGTTATCTTTATTCATATCGTTACAAATGAAGATAGTCAGTAGGAAAAGATGCAGCGACTCTTGTCATAGCACGTCACATTAACTCTTTCTCCGCCACTGACCAGTTATCTCGTCTTTTACAAGAAAACGTTTCCCCGGCGTAGACGAGATTTTACGGCTTTCCGTGTTATACACTCGGGGGTGCTATTACACATCTTCTGAACGAGTACAAAACCTCCACAACAAAAACATCAGCATATAAATGAAAACTGCATAATGTTATGGAGTAAAATGTTGATCCAGGACGTGGTATATGTGTCTCTGCAGCACAAAAGCAGTGTTAAGTCGCTGGGGGATATTTGTAGCAATAGCCAACAATACATTGTATGGGTCACAATTATACATTTCTCTTTTATGCCAAAAATCATTAGGATATTAAGTAAAGATCATGTTCCATGAAGATATTTAGTAAATCTCCTATTGTAAATATATCAAAACGTAATGTTTGATTAGTAATATGCATTGCTAAGAACTTCATTTGAAGATCCAGATGTAGTTTTTGATCAAAATGTGATTTTCTCGCATTTTTATGAAACGTACCTATATTCAGGTGTTGATAAAAAAAAAAAAATGCTTTAAGCTAGAATAAAACAGATTGTTTTGTTTAAAAGTAGAGGCTCTGATCTTTATTTTGGTGTATTGCATATTCAAATATTCATACAGCAAAATATACTGGAGGCCATCAAATTTTAGTGAAAATCATCAAAATCGCTGGCGGTGGCTGGCAAATAAAAAAAAAAAAATCCTGGCGGGGAAAGAGTTAATATACCAATGCTATTCTCCTGATGCCTGAAAACAGAACATGAAGGAAAATGTACAGTCAGACTTATTTGTAACACAACCTTATGATTCGAAATGATTTGTTTCAGTCGTTTTGAGTGGAAACCGGAAGTGCCTCCTATAATTTAAAAACTGTTAGCCGCCGACAAGGAGACCGCTCCTAGTGCCAAAGAACGATCGGAGAGCGTGAGCGCTCACGGCCAAAGCGACGCTTACAACGAGCTCTTCCAGACCGCCGGCGTCAGTGCGGATGACATGGACCCTTTTGATGGAGATGAGGAGGATGCAAACGTTAAAGTCATTGATTTGTCAAAGTACAGCCCTACGTTCTTCGGCTCCGAACATGCACAGGTGTTATCGGGACACCTGCTTCACTCCAGCCTGCCGGGCCTGACGCGGATGGAGCAGATGTCTCTGATGGCTCTAGCGGACACCATCGCTTCCACCAGCACCCACATTGGAGAAAGCCAAGGCAAAGGCCAAAGTCAGTATCTTTCACTGATATAACTTTAGTTTTCATTTGAAGGGATGTGTTCTGATGTGATGAACCTGTACTCAGGTGGAGAGACGCTGGATGAATGTGGACTGAAGTTCCTGCTAGCCGTTCGCCTGCACTCCTTCCTCCTCACGTCTCTGCCTCCGGCTCATCGCGCTCCGCTGCTCTGTCAAGGTACGCCTGCATCAGTGTCCATGAGTGCCTCAGAAGATATTCATGGAATATATACACACTAGCGCTCAAAAGTGTGGGATCAGTGAGACGTGTAATGTTTTTAAAGAAGTCTCTTCTGCTCATCAAGGCTGCATTTATTTGATCAAAAATACAGAAAAAAACAGTAATCTTGCAAAATGTTATTACAATATAAAATAATGGTTTCTATTTTAATATCCTTTAAAATATAATTTATTTCTGTGATGCAAAGCTGAATTTCCAGCATCATTACTCCAGTATAAAGTGTCGCATGAACTTCAGAAATCAGTATAATATGCTGATTTATTATTAGAATTATCAACAGTTGTGCTGACAAATATTTTTTTGGAAACTGCGATACTTTTTTCAGGATTCTTTGATGAGTAAAAAGTTAAAAAGAACAGCATTTATTCAAAATATAAATCTTTTCTAACCAAATAAATCTTTGATATCACTTCTTATCAATTTAACACATCCTCGCTGAATAAAAGTTTTAATTTCTTTCAAAAAAGAAAGAACTTTTGAGCGGTAGTGTGTATATATATATATATATATATATATATATATATATGATATTGATGTTGAACTAGAGCATGCCGCTAGCAGCACCAAGGTTGTGGGTTCGATTCCCATTGGAATGCATGCACTCAGCTGGTCTTGCTCAGATGTTGTGTGGTCTGAATAATGCCGCTGGTCTACAGGACTGTCCACCTGCCACTACGCCTGGGCGTTCCACTCCGAGGCCGAAGAGGAGCTGCTCAACATGCTTCCGGCCCTGCAGAAAGGAGAGCCCGCGTGGCCCGAGCTGAGAGCCATGGGCATGGGCTGGTGGCTCAGGAGCACCAACAAGCTTCGCAGATGCATTGAGAAGGTTTGACCAAACTGAGCCCATGTTCTTTGCGTATTAGCTGATGATGAGTTAGGGCTTTTTTCCGAATTTATTTTTATTTTACTAGACAGGCTGAAAACTGCTGTTCATTGTTTATACAGAACATTTATAGTTCATAATAGTCTACTGGTGTTATACCTTCAGTCATTCTGAATTTGAATTACGTTGACTTAAGATTTTTTTAAAGCATTTTTCTCGTATTATTTCTGAACATATAATACAGGTGCATCCCAATAAATTAGAATGTCGTGGAAAAGTTCATTTATTTCAGTAATTCAACTCAAATTGTGAAACTCGTGTATTAAATAAATTCAATGCACACAGACTGAAGTAGTTTAAGTCTTTGGTTCTTTTAATTGTGATGATTTTGGCTCACATTTAACGAAAACCCACCAACCCACCCAGCCCAGGTTTCTTTGACAGTGGCCTTCAGCTCATCTGCATTTTTTGGTCTCTTGTTTCTTATTTTCATCTTGACATTACGCCATAGATTCTCTCTGGGGTTCAGGTCTGGTGAGTTTGCTGGCCAGTCAAGCACACCAACACCATGCTCATTTAACCAACTTTTGGTGCTTTTGGCAGTGTGGGCAGGTGCCAAATCCTGCTGGAAAATGAAATCAGCATCTTCAAAAAGCTGGTCAGCAGAAGGAAACATGAAGTGCTCCAAAATTTCTTAGTAAACGGGTGCAGTGACGTTGGTTTTCAAAAAACACAATGGACCAACACCAGCAGAGGACATTGCAGCCCAAATCATCACAGACTGTGGAAACTTAACACTGGACTTCAAGCAACTTCGGCTATGAGCTTCTCCACCCTTCCTCCAGACTCTAGGACCTTGGTTTCCAAATGAAATACAACACTTGCTCTCATCTGAAAAGAGGACTTTGGACCACTGGGCAGCAGTCCAGTTCTTCTTCTCCTTAGCCCGGGTAAGACGCCTAATGCGATAACTGTAGCCAAATTCCTTGACACGTCTGTGTGTGGTGGCTCTTGATGCCTTGACCCCAGCCTCAGTCCATTCCTTGTGAAGTTCACTCAAATTCTTGAATCGATTTTGCTTGACAATCCTCATAAGGCTGCGGTTCTCTCGGTTGGTTGTGCATCTTTTTCTTCCACACTTTTTCCTTCCACTCAACTTTCTGTTAACATGCTTGGATACAGCACTCTGTGAACAGCCAGCTTCTTTGGCAATGAATGTTTGTGGCTTACCCTCCTTGTGAAGGGTGTCAATGATTGTCTTCTGGACAACTGTCAGATCAGCAGTCTTCCCCATGATTATGTAGCCTAGTGAACCAAACTGAGAGACCATTTTGAAGGCTCAGGAAACCTTTGCAGGTGTTTTGAGTTGATTAGCTGATTGGCATGTCACCATATTCTAATGTGTTGAGATAGTGAATTGGTGGGTTTTTGTTAAATGTGAGCCAAAATCATCAGAATTAAAAGAACCAAAGACTTAAACTACTTCAGTCTGTGTGCACTGAATTTATTTAATACACGAGTTTCACAATTTGAGTTGAATTACTGAAATAAATGAACTTTTCCACGACATTCTAATTTATTGAGATGCACCTGTATGTATAAGACAAGTTTGTACAAGATGTAGCTGTAGTTCATGCATCCTTTCTGCAAGGATAATTAACAAGTGATTTGTTTAACATTTACATCATGATTACAACTTCATGTGTGCTGCACTTAGAATATAATTTTCTTTAACTAGCGGGTTAATAAAGAAAAAGTTACTTGAATCATGTAGTTATATTTTGAAGCTGACTAGTTACAAATCGTACAAAATCGGTCAAATGTTCTGAGAAAAGCACCGTCTACTGTATCTATTAGTTTTCTCACATTTTTAACCTCAAGCTTCAAATATTTAATATACATCAAATATATATAAATAATATAGCTCTCCTCAATGCTTGTGCATATTAACGTGACACTTTGTAGGTGTTATTGTCACAGTGTGGCCTATACACTCTAAAAGTGTATGTATGACGGTAAATCTACTCATAATCTCGTATCCTTTCACACAGGTCAGCTCAGTCTGTAGCTGCTGCTCGTTTACTTGTTTTTCCGTGCATGTGCATCCGATGCATGTCTTTAGCCACTGTATTCAACGTGTTTGTTTTTCAGCACCTTGAGATGAACTTTTTACGTATTGAGTGTTTGTTTGAATGATGATCACAGGCCAATATAGTTCTTGAAATGTAATTTTCTATATTTTTTTAATTTGACATGAAATCCAAACATGTGTAATATGTGTAATCCTTCCAGGTAGCAAAAGCTGCTTATCAGAGAAACAACGACCCGTTAGACGCAGCCTTGTTTTATCTGGCCATGAAGAAGAAAGCTGTGGTCTGGGGACTGTACAGGTAACTTCACACACACACTCACACACACACACACTCACACAGACACACAAACACACACACACACTCACA